ATAAAATTCCGTGTTGATCAAAAATTTTTTATTAGTGAGTGACACTTGACCCCCTGTAGATCCGCAATGTCCTGCGATATAAGCAACATCTCTTTCTTTGTTTTTATTTCTCATCCAAACGCATATCTCTCTCATTTGAGATTGACAAATATTTAACCCTACTATTTGAGCTACAGGGAATAAGATCAATTAAAAATCTACACACCCTTAACATCGAAGAAGGGGGAAATGGTACTAATCCTAACCTGTCCTATACTCCCCTGTTCTTTTCTAACTTTTTAAACCAAAGTCAATGTTTTCACAAAAAAAAACATCAGCTTAAAAAACCATAATAAAATCGGTTTATAGAGATAAATTTAATAGGTAAAAATCATGTATATTCATTTTATGAAAAGCATAGTCTTAACAAGTTAGTTCTGACTGTAACCATATACATATGTATACATACATGTATATATTAAAAAATACAGAACTTTCTAGCAAGTACAATTTATTAATAGAATGCTACAAGATTACATTGTTAAATAATAATAATAATAATTACAATAATAATAATAATAATATTTAGCCCTTTATATTGGGATATTATTATGTTGAAATATTCTCGGGATTATTTTATTATTATTTTGTTGTTATTTTCTTTGTTTTTCATTTTATTAACTAACATTTTTATGTACTTGTTTCTTTTAGTCGGAACTTCTTTTGTTAATTTTCTTTCGGTTTAAAGTAAAATTTTCTATAGGAAATTTGCTAAGTTTTTACATTGTTGTTATATTGTTATATTGTTCGCAATTTTCATCATTTCTTTTTATTGTAAATTTTTTTTTTTTAATTCTTTCGATTCTCTTGGCCAGAGTTGACCCTTCCTTGCTTTTCTCTTGTCCGTTTCTCTTTCCTCTCAGTAAAAGATGAACTGTTGGTCGATACCTTTTGAATTCCTTTTAATACCCATTTCTTTGATTGCCAGATGATACTAACATTGATTGTGAATTTTCAAATCTTTCCCTTTCTTCTGGTTCCAAGTTTTGTCCGATTATCCGTCTTCGTTTCTTTATTGCTGGTTTCTTGACGTTCTTCCAGTTTATCGAAAAGAACTATCTTGTTGATATTTTGCAGCTCGTCATTTGGTAGGTTTTATAATAATTTCATAATCCTGAGAACACATGAATTGGTAATAAAGTAAAATTTTTGTTAATGATGCTAGGAGTAATAAAGTAAATTTTGAAATATATTGATTGATTAATCCGTATTTATTGATATTTATGAATAAATTTCCAATTATATTACCGTTATTATTGTTATTGTTATTATTATCATAACCATTATTATTATTAGCGAAATAATTGGTGGCAATGAGTGGATCGGACTTAAGCTTGTCCTCCGTAATCAAATATCAAATGTTCCAACATACCCGTAACTTTACATATTATACATAGTGTTGCAACATAATCACGATGCAGTTTGACCAATTTTCTATTCATATTCTCCCATTTTTAAAAACATTATTATTATTATAAACATTTAATATTTATTAAAATGTAATTATTAAACAAAACAAACACAAAAAATTTGAATTCATTTATCTATTCATAATCTAATTGCTGTAAATCTGCATGTTAACCATATCTCCATTTTCATCTATATCACTTTTTCTTGAAGGTGGTTGATATCCAAGATTTAATGCTTTTAAAAACGGATTTTATACAAGGCGGAAAGGTAATGCACACATAATAAACATCATAACTAAAGCTTTATTGATTGTTTTATGCGTGATTCTTCTAATCAACTGAACAAAAATAACCATCAATATGACGTTGTCCAGAATGTTCAGGAGTTTAGAAAATGTTGACTTTATAAACCCACAAATATTATGGAGAGACTAATTTCTTCCGCCTGTGGATACCCAGATGACCCAGATGCACCCGATCCGGTTCTAATCCCTATTTATTAATATATTTATTTACTAAAGGGTCATTCATTTTTTTATTTAAATTTTTTTTAATAAAAAAATCAAAAAGATTTAGCAAAAATGAACTACCAACAAAGTCTATTTTTTGTTTGAAAAACTTACTATTTATGACAAGCATCGAACAAAATTAATTGGCTTATGTTAAGGATTTACTACAAAGAGTTCTCAAATTTTAAATATCTCATCATCAGATTAATAACAAATTAACATGAATAGTTGTTATAAGTGAAAATATAGTAAATTGACGAATAAATAAATTTTTAGCAATTATTAAAACAAATCATTTGAATTATTGGTTGAATAATTAATTCTCTATAAATTTATATCGGTGCAACAAATATATGAGCGAACTTTATATACAAAGTATAATTTAAATAACGCTGCGTTATTTTAAAGATTTATAATTGTATTAAATAACTTTGAATAAATTTAATTATCATATAACATTAGATTATATAATCTTTTCGACTGAATTCATAAAAATTTTGTTTATTTATTGACTATATCTCCAACCGTACTTACAAACAAAATGTAAAATATAAAAAAGTTTAAATATAAAAAAATTGAAAAAAATAAAATTGAAAAAATTGATGTTGTATTACTATTTATTACGAATAATGAACTATTGCATTAACAACAATGTTTAATATCTGTTATTGTTATTGTTATTGTTATATAGAAAATTTTGAATATTTCGAAGTTGAAATACTATGTAAATAAGTAGTGGCAGTTGATCATTGTTTTGATGAACATTTTGACCAATAAAACTATTGTTCAGATAATTGATGCTTGTAGTAATAGATGGATTCTGGCCAATGATATCACTGCCATCACCGTCAACCACGCCAGTGAAGCCTTGATCAACGAAACTATTATCGACAATACACGAGTTTTGGTTAGTGAAATTAATTTGATGAATTAAATTACCGTCTCCAGAGTTTTGATCAATGTAATTATTTTCGACAGAGTTCTGGCTGTTTTGGTGACCGAAATTATTCTCTTCAGGGTTTTGATAAATATAAATATTGTCTCCGGGGTTTTGATGAATATAATTATTGTCTCCAGAGTTTTGATGAATGTAATAATTACTGTAGTGGTATCCAGCGACTTGATTGTCGTAATTGTTGTAATTATTAGGAACAAAGTCTTGATTATTAACATTAACATTATCGTTAGAACCGATATTATTATTATTATCTTCAGAATAATTTTGATACATTTTTGGTTTTTTATTATGAATTTAGTTTTTTGTTATATATTGGTTATAAATTTATTTATTGAGCTTATTTATTAATTATTATTATTTGTTTTTTAAAAACAAAATTTTCATTTTCATGAATAAATGTGTATTTTATATGTAAAAAAACAAAGAAAAGAAACTTTTTGATATTGTTGTATATGAATTGAAGCTATGCAGAATTGAAATCTATAATAATAATTAAAATTTTTGATGGGGCGTTTGGATATGAAATTCTGATTGACTAATTTGAATGCAAATCAAACAGTTGACGACTTTATTATTAGCTAACTTTTATTTCAATTTTAATATTCGGTATTACAAACAATAATAATGTACAACACAAAATATCAGAGATAGAGGATATCATTACAAAAATTTTATTGGAGAAGATTCATTTGTTTGGTGGAATCAATCTTGCTGTACAAGCAAGAATTTACATCAGCTGGAAATGTAAATTTTTTTGGGTGACGATCTCCGTAGAATATGTTTTTCTATATATATTATTATTATTATTATTATTATTATTATTAACAGGAGACCGTTTTGGGAACACAAAATTTTAACCCATGCCATTTGTTGATTGACCAATTAAAATCACGAATTTGATAAACGTAGAAATAAATATTATGGGTTTGATTCAAACAGTTGACGACTTTATTATTATAGCTAACTTTTATTTCAATTTTAATATTCGATATTACAAACAATAATAATGTACAACACAAAATATCAGAGACAGAGGATATCATTACAAAAATTTTATTGAAGAAGATTCATTTGTTTGGTGGAATCAATCTTGCTGTGGAAGCAAGAATTTACATCAGCTGGAAATGTATTTAGTAATAGTAAATTTTTTTGGGTGACAATCTCCGCAGAATATGTTTTTCTATAATCTTTATGCAAAAATCTCAATTTTGCTCCCAAATAGGCATAGTAAAAATAGTATTCATTATCCTTTTTTAAAAAAATTTTGAATATTTCACTGGCACAAATAATTGTTTATGGCTACACAATGAATATCTGATTTAAATTTTTTGATTAATCAAATGATTATCTGATTGATTGAAGATAGTAGTTGAGTACAGTGAGTATAGTACAAACCATTTTTGGGTTGGGTGTTTGGGTCATGTAATTGTACTTGATGTACTCAACCAAATATTCGGTGGGTTTTTGATTATTCCACATGTTTTTAATGTAAAGAAGCCTTGTATCCATTTTTCTAGTATGCAAACTAGCCCAATTGTTTCGCCATATAAATCCTTGTATTAGTATTATTAATTATATATCGAGTAAAAGACGCCAAAAAAAAAACAGTTGCTAATACAAACTCTTGATATCACATACCAAATTAGGAATGCAAATTCGGACATGCGACCTGCCTCTCGTTTATTATTATTATAATAATATTTTTATATTTGAATTTTATTTATATTGTTTATTTATATAAATTAGTTTTAAAAGAAAGATTAACGTCGCCTTTTGACAAGTGAAAGAACAAACAAACAATTGTTTAATTAAATTTTATATTAATGTTTCGGGTTGTTTATAAGAGTAGAGAGTTTCTATTCTTAATACAAATTATTATTCAAAGTGTTTTATTCAAATTATTATTCGAAGTGTTTTATTCAAATTATTCGCTGTTTTATTCGTTTTATTCGAGTTACTCGTTTTATTTGTTTAGATTTAATTTATTAATAATGATAATTTTAATTTCTGGTTTGGTATATGGTACCGACTATTCATTAAGAATATTCGTGTGTGTAGCCGAACATTCGAATATATCCAAATAATTTTAGTCCTAAACAGTTTCAATTCACAGAACAAAAGAATGATGTATTACTAATGCTCAATTTGGTCGAGAAAATTGTACAGAATTCTATGCTAATTCGATACAGAAGAAATTTATGGAATAGAATTTTCCAGATACGTGAGCATAAATCTTGATGATAATCTTAGATACTTTACGAAAAAAATTTTCTTCTAAAAAAATTTTAAAAAAATTTTTAACTCATAAGCATTAAAAATGCCACAAATCAATCAAGTTAATAATGGTAATAATAACATCAGCAATCATTTAAGACGGGATCTTGGTCGATGGTTAAGACAAAGAATATACCCGTTAGCTGAAGAAAAAACATTGGACGCTTACAACTATTATCTGCATTTGATTAATAATCACAACAATAATGAAAAATACAATTATGTAAGCCACCATCAATTTTTAGTATATGTAGCAAGGTCTTGCCTTCAAACTGATGAAAATAGTTTTCCTGACATCCATCGGAGTTTACTTGCCTTAGTCGTTAGCGATTTGAATCGAAGTTCATCAGATTACGAAAGATACAAGGTCACTATATACACTAGGCGCTTCAATGAATTTATCGACAGACGAAATTCTGCAAATCAAGATTGTTATAATCAATTAAATATCAATGACGAAGATGATTACGATCAACAAGATAAATTTACATGGGAGGATATTTACGCTCCCTAAGGTATAAAACTTAATTTATAGTTTATTACTGTCAAAAACAATATATGTATATATATACAGTATCTATTAAATTCTACATAAACAAATATTTTACATGTAGATGCCTATGACAAAGGTAGTAATCTAATTTCTAATACTATACAAAAAAATAAGTACTACACAGAACTTATTATCACAAAAAATTTATAATTATCTTATTTATCCACTTATTGAATATAACCAGCCGAAATTTAGTGTCTCATATAGTGTTGCTTTCCAGAAATATAGTTTCACAACTGTGCGAAAGTCGAAACTGGTTTTGACTTTTGACTTAGTTTTGACATATAACTTTTAATTTTTCGTCTCTTCAAAATAGTTTTTGGCGAATCACCAATAAATAAATGATTAGGGAAAATGCAACATTTGCACGTTACGCTTAATCTATACAGAGCCACAAGGGGAGGGTTAGTCCTTATATCAATTCCTTGACGAGTAATTTTGCTGAACTAGCATTTGCTATACTTTATATATATATATATATATATATATAGCTATTTTTCATTCGAGCAAAATTCCGTACCAATTCCGATGGGTCTGGTACGTTTCCCCGACAGGACGTTTCCCCGACAACCGTTTCCCCGACATGACGTTTCCCCGACAAGACGTTTCCCCGACAAGACATTTCTCCGACAAGATTTTGTTAACTATATTTAATATTAATTGGCTAATAAATGGCCTAACCGACTTAAACAGC